GTGGGCCCACCATGTACTCACGGCGTCGAGTAGAAGTAGCCACAGGTGACTTCAGGCACCTCTGGTTAGAAACTTAAGGTCCCCACTTTTGTCATGGTAGCGGTACGTGCGAAAACTGGAACTTTGGTGTACCTTGTGCCTTAGTTCGTCAGGGAGTGGGCAGCCCCAAGTGGTCCTACCGCCAGTCATCGTAGGCAAAGCCGGGTCCTCTCCAGTTGACGTGGTAGAGGAACGTGCGAAAGTCCTCGAACGATCACTCATTCAACGGAACGGGAGGATTCTTGTCAACATGAGTGGCAATCAGGCCAAAGCGTCTTGCAACGGAGACCCATCAAACGTAGCAATAGGAACCTTGTTGACATGGATACACCTGGGGTGATGAGGATAGCCCCATCAGGTCGTACATACGTCCTGATGCCTCACCAATTGGGTTGGACTGCAGGGGGCAGAGGTTTCCAAAAAATACCACCGGACTACGGTAGAGGAGGTAGAGAAGAATCTCACTATGGGTCAAGTGGGAGGATATCTTTTGCCTCTGCATCGGTGGGTGAGCAGCGTTTCTGCTCGGGCACTGACACTGCAGAGCCAGTAATTTGTTTCATCAGTCGGCCTCAGCATCGTTATAATAAAATGGTAGTAGGAGAACATGCCGTTACATAACGGCACAGTTAAATAACGGAGACGGCTCTAGCGCGCTGATTTGGCGTATCCAAATCTTCCATTTATCCCTGGGGTGCTGTCGGTATAAGTCGAGAGACAGGTGTCCGGCAGCCATCCCCTAGGGGAGTCTTGTGAAGGAGGGATGGGAATTGGTCAAACCCGTTGCTATACCCGGCAATATTACTGATGATGAGTGTCATTGGATCTTGCTACGTTCCTAGATTCCGAATCACCCTTGATTATTCACACTAGTGTGAATACTCAATGGCGTTACATACAAACATACAAACATGCGTGTTAAAGAATAAGAATAGTTCTGATTATCAGAATTCGACCAAGTGAAGTGCAGTGGTCGAAGCAAAGTTCAACATGGTACAACCCATCTTAGTAGAGAAGTAATTCCATCCTGCAACCATGGCGACGCCATACATGCGCATGCAAATTTGGTTCTGGCAAGAAAGCCTAGGTTCCGTATCTGAAAGTTGGGTGATCTATGTTGAAGTGCCCGCTATCATAATACCTTTTTTCCCCAGCTGTATTACAAACTATCTTTTCCTATAACTGTCAAAAAATGCACTATTTAATGATTTTACGGAAGAGTGTGAAAAAAGTACACTCTTTCCACGGTTGTTGCTAGGTGATGGAATGAATGTTTGCGTGAAATGGGCCCAAGCACTGCGTTGTTGGTAGGGTGTTTTGTTCGAAAAAGAAGTCTGTTCTAACAAAAATGACGCATAACCGACGTGTGTGGCTGCAAAATGGTCATTTCCGCTAGAACCACAACACACATTTCGGTTCTCCGTCATTTTGTTCGAACATACTTGTTCAAAGAACCAAACAGCTCACCAACAACGCACTCTATGGGTTCCTTCACGAGATTCAGCAAGGCAGCAACAAAACAAATCAAGACGACTGACTTCGTATTTCGTATGGCGTGGTCGCATCTTATGTATGATTTGATCAGAGGCGAGTGGACTCATTTTCGGGTCGAATTTTAGGTGCTAAAATTATTGATACTGTCTCGTTGATATCCAAACGGCTAGAAATTTACCTCCAGTAACAACTGGCGCCACGATTTCTTAAGATCAAAACTTGTTGAATGTCCTAACGGGTCCTGTTCATTTTGGTCCTTCGCCAAAGCTGTAGGAAGAAACTTCACTTCCAGCTCGTTTCCTCGTCTAACCAAGGAAGATGCAACACTAGCCACAACTGCCTAGGAGAAAGCCAACATTTTTGCGCATTTATTTGCTGGAAATTCCACTCTGGGTTCATCAAGAAAACAAGCTCCAAACATAACGCCAATTGACAGTCATATGCCCGAGATCACCTTTCGCCAACGTACTGTAAGGAAGATTCTATTGGGTCTCAACACCAACAAAGCTTATGGCTCCGATGGAATCCCACCGATTGTTCTCGAGAAATGTGTTCCCGAACTAACACCTGTTCTCTGCAAGTTGTTTAACTACTCTTACAAATTAGAAATATTCCCGTCCGACTGGAAAATTGCGAGAGTACAACCAGTTCCTAAAAAATGCAAAAAGACCATACCTAGCAACTACAATCGCACTGCTATCTATTATTTCCAAGATCATGGAGAAAGCTATCAACATCGAGGTCATGAAATACCTGAAACATTCAGGTATTATCAACGATAGGCAATATGGCTTCCGTCATCAGAGATCAACTGGTGACCTGCTCGCTTACGTCTCACATATATGGCAGCAATCTATTGAAAAACGTGGTGAAACCTTAGCCGTGGCACTTGATATCTCCAAGGCATTCGATCGAGTCTAGCACCACGGACTCCTCGCCAAGCTCCCATCTTATGGCTTGCCTCCCTAGCTATGTTCTCTGCTAGCTAGTTTTCTCTCAAACAGGTCTCTCCATGTAATAGTCGACGGAGTTTCATCTGACTCTCTTATCATGAATGCTGGTGTTCCGCATGGATCAATTCTAGCACCAACACTATTTCTTCTCCTAATCAACCATTTGTTGGAAGCAACTTCATGTCCAGTACACTGCTTCGTGGATGATAGTACCCTCCATACCGCCTTCTCTTCTAGGGCTCTAATATCAGCCAGGCAAATCGAAAATTAACGTGGGAGAAATGTTGACAACATAAATATGGACTTGGCAACAATTCTCGAATGACGATCCAATAACTTGGTACATTTCAATGCGAACAAAACACAAGCATGCCTTTTCTCTAGAAAAGCCGATCTCACCGTGGCCAACATAAGCTTGTCAGGAGAAACCATATCTTTGGGGACATCCATTTCGATGCTTGGTATTACTATCAGCAATATAACCTTTCTTGGGAAAATCACGTGAGATCAATTGCTGAAAGTGCATCCCAAAAACTTGGTTTTCTGTTTCGGGGCAGGAGGTATTTCACTTCCAGTCAGCTGCCTATGATCTATATAAGGCATAGATCCGACCTGTCCTGGAATACTGTTCCCATATTTGGAGTGCAGCACCCAAACATACCCTGAAACTGTTGGATTCTGTCCAAAAAAAAGGGCAATTCGTTTCGTGGGTGATGCCTTGCTCACAAACTCACTCACTTCTCTGGAACACCGTAGAAAAGTTGGCGATATGGCTCTATTTTATAGATATTTTCATGGACGATGCTCTTCTGAAATATCAAAAATTGTTCCTCCCTTGGCAGTCCCCGCAAGATTAACCCGTCGAGTTGAGGCTTCGCACCCCTTCGTGGTCACTTTGGAGACCTGCAGAACATCTCTTTCCAAAGACTCGTTCGTCCAACGAACAGCGAGGCTCTGGAACACATTACCAGGGGAGGTGTTCCCCGAGGCATATAACCTCCAGAAATCAAAGAAAAACACCAATTCCTACATAATCTTCCTTGGTTCTCACGATGTTCTCTTGACATTACAGAATATCACTTTTCGTGGGAACCAGAGAACATAAAGAAAAATAGGGGCAGAACATAGCACAGTTGGCATGTGTTGAAATACGATTGGAAACTTCAGAAATATCATTTATTCAATAATGAATAAATCTTCTATCAATGAGAATTCAAGGGTCTCAATATATTTATAATAAATTCGTGTGAATATTAATTCTATTAATTCACACTAGAGGACATTTGAATCGTTGATCGTTTCAACACGGCGAACGAATCGTGGGCGTGGTCTTGCCAGGTCTCAGCATTCTGCACAATGTTGCCAAGTCTCCAACATTCACATGATATTCTTTTTGTTATGGAGAATAAGAAATATTTGGACATGTTGGTTGCTCGAAAAAGTCAACAATGAACTATAATATCATGGGTTCCTCCTAATATGTTTCATTCAACGACAGGACTCTCAACATCTTTTTGATCACTTGATTATAATTGGTGACTTGACAACCTTGCTTCATAAGGAAAAATGGGAGATTATCTGACCAATAACGAAACAGCATAAAAACTGACGTCACCATTTGTTCGACGTATCGCCAAACGGCGGCCATTACGGTTCGTATGAAATGAGCTCTGAAATTCAAAAATCTCAGACAACGCGTAGACTCATTATTCACACAAAAAAAGCGTGAGAAGTATTGCTATTCAGGTTCCTAACGAGACAGTGGATTAATTGAATGTCAGTAATTCATCATCAGTCCACTCGCCCATTAGCTGAAGGTGGCTCTGGCCATTTGGTCCTTGGAAACCAGGTCTTATCAATAAAGTGACATGAAATGAGTAAAGGCCGATTCATGCAACAGTCATTATAATTACATTTTCATTACATTATAAATTAAGAATGTTGAAAACTCCTATTCCATAGAATGCGTTCATGAAACACATCAACACATTTTCATCACATTAGTGCACTAAGAAGTTGACCAACTTTTAACTATTCATTATAATTACATTATAGTTCTAGTGAAAACGACTGATTTGAAAGTTCAGATCATTGAATGATCATTTTTTCCATAAAACTATTTGTGATTCACCTCAGATATTATATTCATAATAAATCCATGTTCTCAAATAACGTGTAAAAATTTGGAAAATACAACTGAATCACATAACCTCGAATAATTAGTTCATTATGAGCATAAGTTGCATGAACGGGTACCTCGCGGCTAGTGAAAATGTAATTATAATGTAGTGAAAATGTAATTATTATCAATGTTGCATGAATCCGCCTTAAATGTCCTTGACAATAGCATGCCAAATATAATTTAATCATTCACACCATGAGTTGAATGAGGTTAGTCCTCTTTTTTGACAGTTGTAGGACAAATATTGAATGTAACACGTGCGTGAATTGTTTCATTCTCCCGTAAAACTTAGTACCACTATACACACTTGTCACATAAATAACTATTTCTAGCGGCACTTATCTGGTGTACGTAGACGGCGACATAAACCGACCGGAAATGAAAGAGCGAAGCTGGGATCCGAACCGCTTCCACTTCGACAACGTCCTCAAAGCCATGCTCACCTTGTTCACCGTGTCCACGTTTGAGGGGTGGCCCAACCTGCTTTACGTGTCCATAGACTCGAACGAGGAGAACAAAGGACCGATCCACAACTTCCGGCCCATCGTGGCGGCCTACTACATCATCTACATCATCATCATAGCCTTCTTCATGGTGAACATCTTCGTCGGTTTCGTCATCGTCACTTTCCAGAACGAGGGCGAGCAGGAGTACAAGAACTGCGAGCTGGACAAGAACCAGCGCAACTGCATCGAGTTCGCGTTGAAGGCCAAGCCGATACGGAGATATATACCCAAACATCGGATCCAGTATAAGGTCAGAAGAGTTCAACTTTCACTAGCTCGACTTTTCCACTCTTCCCAGGCAACCAGATGACGAATGATCACGTCACTGTGACGTCCCTAACTAGTGATTTCTCGTCAGAGACGTCACACGCCAATTTATGACGTCACTATGACGTACTTTCTATGACGTGATGATCACGGCATCATCAGGACGTGGAGTGAACGTCACGTCAGTGTGACGTTCCTAATTAGTGATTTTTCATCAGAGACGTCACACGCCAATTCATGACGTCACTATGACGTACTTTCTATGACGTGATGATCACGTCATCATCAATACGTCGAGTGAACGTCAGTTAGAAAGGTGAAATAAGACTTCAGTTTCATGACGTTGCAGGGACGTCCTGTCGACTTACATGTTTCCCAGGCCATATCTAAACCATGTATACTTACATTATCATGTGAAACCGAGAAACCGTTAGGTTTGTGACGTACCTATATATACAGGATGGGCATTTTCAGTGTCGAAAAGTTTTCAGAAAAAATTGTTTTTTTATTAATTTTACACACATATTATATAGAAACATGTACGTCTTGGTAATTATATAATATATTCTTCTAACGTCGTTAAAAGTATAACTCATCAAAACAAATCAACATGCGAGTTTAATTGGAATAATACAGGGTGTTTCATAATTGGATGTCAATATTTGGGGATATTCAGAATATTAACAAACGAAGGCTATAGTACACAGTCTCTATTACAAGCAAATTCTCAAACGTTTTCGGCTACAAGCCATCATCAGGAGTAATTTCTGAAAGTGAGTGAAGATAAGAAAATCTGAATTGAAGTTATGTAATAGGTTAATAAATTCGATAAATAATAACCTAAACTACTCAACACTAATTTCGTCGCACACCAAAATGTCGCCCCTGATATAATGTGAATAACTTTTTTCAGTTTAGAACAATTTGAATTTGGTTCACACTGTTCGATAGCCCAGTCCTTCAGCTATAATCTCGTACTTCATTGAAACATGAGGGTATTCACATGAAATCTCTACATGGTGTTTTCCGACACTGTGCAAAATTTCGGAATATTCAAAAGGCTCTCAAATGGTGAAAAAAAATGTTTTCTCAACTTCGACAACAGAGGCAAGAAGATGATCTCATTACCTCCAGATATTTCGCGAATCAACTTCCTATCTCTCTTATTCACAGAGTGATCTCAAAAAATCAACTTTTTGGTTTTGCAGCCATAACTTTTTTCCACGTCAACCGATTTTGGAAATCTTAGGCTCATTTTGAAGATTAAACTTCAGATGAAGAGATCTGAATATCAGAATTAACTCAAGGTGGCTATCAAAGATCTAGATCGAGTGTTCTTGAAAGTGACCCAAATCTGGAACGCCCTCCGAATCTCGGTTGGGAGGAGTATTGAATGAAAGTCAACTTGTTCTCGGAAAAACAATTCATCCTGGATACGTCCATATTTTCCTCGTTCTCAGTACTCAAGAATGAAGTTTTATCTTCAAAATGAGCCTAAGATTTCCAAAATCCGTTGACGTAAAAAAAAGTTATGGCTGCAAAACCAAAAAGTTGATTTTTTGAGATCACCCTGTAAATAAGAGAGATAGGAAGTTGATTCGCGAAATATCTGGAGGTAATGAGATCATCTTCATGCCTCTGTTGTCGAAGTTGAGAAAAAAAATTTTTTCACCATTTGAGAGCCTTTTGAATATTCCGAAATTTCGCACAGTGTCGGAAAACACCATGTAGAGATTTTATGTGAATACCCTTATGTTTCAATGAAGTACGAGATTATAGCTGAAGGACTGGGCTATCGAACAGTGTGAACCAAATTCAAATTGTTCTAAACTGAAAAAAGTTATTCACATTATAACAGAAGCGACATTTTGGTGTGCGACGAAATTAGTGTTGAGTAGTTTATATACCCAAAAAGTAATAGCGAACTGTTTTTGAACTTTGACACCCTGTATATCACGGAAAACAATCGAGCTATATATGTATACATACACATGATAATGAAGGTGTATCTATATTGAAACTTGAAACCGTCACTTTTATGACTTTGCAGTGACGTATCTATGGCGCCTAAAAATCACGTCGGTGTGACGCACCAATTTGGTAAGCTTCGTCATTCAGAAGGTTTTTCAATAATTTGCTATTTAGATTTTTGTTGGGTGAGAAATCATGCATGAATGAAAATACGTTACTCAACGTCCGGAGGGACGACCAAGCCGACTCAATAATGCGTAATCAATATTATATGTCATCAGAAGTTAGTGGTGATTATCAAACCATGTTCGAGGAAACTTTTTTACGTGTCATCACCAAATTTGAACGTCATTTCGACGTCATTCCGACGTCACAGTTTGGTGGGTGAGTGACGTCAATAAACGTGAGTAATATGACGTCATTGGGCTGTGACTGATTCACGTCATACGACGTCAACTCTTGACGCCACCTTGGTCATTTTACTGACGTGAAAAGACGCCAGTAAAACGTCATCTGGTTGCCTGGATTGATCTCGAGAATCAACCATTTTCGCGGTTTTTTCTGTATCACAGCGATATTTTTTGTTTACTTAAAATTATCGGACTTGCTCTGTCAGGGGCCATATGTTTGAATCGAGGAAAGGATCCCCTCGAGGGAATGTTTGATGTAAAATGTTTACAATGTCACTTTCCACTGCCTATCTCGGTGGATTATGAGAGAACACGGAAGAGACTTTCTGTTTCTCTCTGTCGACATTGAAATTTACGATATTTCGTAATATAAAAACGCGGGAAAACGCATGACGTAATCATCTGAAAAAAATTCGACATACGTCGTATCTATTCTCCTTGTCTGTAAGACAAGTGCAAGAATATTTCTGATAGTCATTTCAATCTGAATATGAAAACAGTTCGCCTTCTCAGAAGGTGCTTGCCCTAAACTCTAGTGAATTTAACAGAGAATCAAACACACAACTGAAGAATCAGATGAAAGAGGAATATCTTTGAATATTCGCATATTGAAGCTGTCCAGAAGAAAATACTGAAATATCTGCCTTTCAAGGCCATAGGAATATATCGTCAGAGAGGAACCGATTATTCTAATCCTCTGAATCGGTTCAATTATATTGTCACGAATGTGACTTATTGCCTTTGCTAGTTGGGATTTGCTGAGGGTTGATACTCAATAAAAAGGACTCAAGTTTGAACAACAAATGGAAATGAGGATTTATTGATGATGAATTACAATTTTCACATTCCTTGAAGAGGCATTTGGTTGAAGATTTAATGAATAATAAAAATGGTACTTACAATAATTTAACACAAAAACTTGGGGATGTCCCAATTGGGACATCCCCGTTGCCACAAGCAACCGTCCGCTATTCGGACCAAAAGTCAAGTCCCTCTTGGTACGTGGATTCCGATCGATCACCTCAAATGTTTATTTTATTGAAAAATGTTTTGTCACGAATGAGGACAGTTGAATTGCTGAGAAATATAACAAACTCGATAAATTAGAACAGTGAAATAATAATAATAGTAGTAGTAATATTTGAGAATAATTTGGAAAATATCCTTTCGTGACAATATTCCTTCACAGACTGCTTCATAATGAGATCTCATGTGCTCTTTTTTTTACGAATGATCAACTCCCACACTCCACATCTGAGTTCCAGATTTAATACATTTTACTGTGATCTTAGTAGAACAAAGAACAATCTCAAAGCACCTATGCATGTCAATAATATGTGAAACAATTTCATTTCAATCTCTCAAAGTTAATTTTGAAATGGATCCTCACTAGAATCTTTCAACTGTGAATTTTTCATTTGTGATCTATATCAATTCATTTTTGGATTGTGTACATACAGTCGTATTAGGTCGAGTTATTGTTATGTTTTATGGTAGGTAATGACTTCTCAACAGTTGCCATGAGGAAAATACCAACAATAAGAAAATCATTCCGCAGAAAAATACCCTTTCCTCTTTAGATTGTTCGATCTGGAGGTATTTCGCTCAAAACGCGGTGCTCCGAAATTTTCGTTGAATAGGTTTTCTCAGAAAAGACACCCATCCCTGACGAATGAGCATTCGAAAGTTGTTCGGAGACTGTTATACTATTATTTTGATCAGGTCTGGTGGTTCGTGACGTCACGACCGTTCGAGTACGCCATCTTCACCCTGATCCTCACCAACACCATCACGCTCGGCATGAAATTCCATCATGGCACCGACGAGTACCAGGTGTACGAAAAAGTCTTGGACTACCTCAACATGATATTCACAGCCGTCTTCGCCATGGAGTTCGTTTTCAAGCTGGCCGCCTTCCGTGTTAAGGTATAGCGATGCTGAGCAACTTCAAAAAATACAGTGTAGTTCATCTATGCTGAGCAAGGACTACTCTATCTCCGCCGTATCCCAGACAGCACTGGAGTCCCTAGAATATTCTCTAAATATGCTAGAAGAGTATTTTCCGAATATCCGCCGCATATTCTTGGAATAATCTAGTAATATTTCAAAATAATATACGCGGAATATTCCAGGAAAAATATTCAGAGATGAATATTTCAAGAATATTCCAGTTGAATTGTTCAGGAAAAACTCAGGTTTGAATATTCTAGGAATATTCTCAACTGAATATTCTGATTTGTATATTCATGGAATATTCCATAATTATTATTCTCATGAGTTTCAATGAAATATAGTACAGTATAAACCCTAATAACACAATTATGTCCCATGGATATCCTTACGACGTCCTGTCGGGACATTCAGGACGTCCATGGGACGTTCGAATTTGTTACCGTGGACGTCCATCGGACGTCTGTGGGACGCACGAATGTCCCACTTGAGGACCACTTAGGGACGTTCTTGAGGGATGTCCCTCGGACAACCTTTCAGCAACGCTGAGGGATATCAATTGGATGTCCATAGGATGTCGCAAGGACGAACGGATTATTCTTAAATTTTAAATTTTCTGAGTCCCTCAGGACCAGATCTTGCATAACTGATGAGGACATCCAGTTGAGTTGATGATCGGTAGAAGGTCCCCAATAGATCCTGAAAAAGTTCCCCATGGATGTCCAATGGACTTACGTGAAGGACATTGATAGGGAGTATTTATAGCCTGCGAGCAATCATTCGTCGGCGAGGTGTAAGTTAACGTCCTCTCAGGGACAACATATTGAAAGTACCGACTGGGACGTCCACAGGACGTTATTTCTAGGATATTGGATAAGTACAGTTCATGTACCAATTGGGACATCCGACGGAAATCCCTAAGGGACATTTTGATTTTTATACGATCCTGGAAACTTTAAGGGCGTCTGTGCAGAGATAGCTAAAGAAATGTACTATCAGGGACATTTCATGGTTGTCTAGAAGGCGCATTATATAAGATATGAAGTCAAGCCAGAATATGTACTACTCGGGACATGCGATGGATGTCCCCAAAGGAACGTTCAAAATCATATCCCATCAGGGACATACCAAGGACGTCCTTGCAACGACATTCTACAATATACTCGGACATTGCATGAGATGTACGGAATGGGACGTCCCAAGGACACTTATTTTTGGTCCGGGACATTCGGACTTGAATTGTACCGAATTGGGACGTCCTTAGGACGTTGTGTGCTATTAGCGAACACCAATCACTATATTATATTTTATAAATGCTAGTATCAAACATGTATTATGATAAAAATGTGGCAGAAATCCATCGTATCTCAAATTGGAGTGGTTAGTTACCAGAAATCAAGAACACAAAGCCATCACCACAATTTTAATAGGGATCAAATTACTCAATCAGATCATCGAACATGTTTCGAGCCCATATAGGCTTATATATTCATTATTATGTATGAAGATTTTGAAACATGAAGTGTTTATGATCCGATTCTGAACAACATACTCTTCGAGAAATTGTCATGCACAATATCATTCAACTCGATTACTGGCCTATATAGTGGTTGAGGCGTTGCTCTGACAATCTGAGAGTCACGAGTTCGAGCCCATCTTGGGTCAGCTTTTTCAAATTGTGAATATGTTCAGTGGAATATTCCAGAAATATCCATTCATTAATGTTCCTGTACTATACCTGGAATATTCCGAGTATTATCTGAATATTTCTAGAATATTGAAGGTACATTCTGAATATACAGTGAATATTCCTTGTGAATATTCTAGGAATATGTATATTCTTCCCCACCAACACATTCAGGGAATATTCCGTAGAAGATATATATATCCTTGGCATATTCATGGATATTCTCAATATCCAAAAATAATATTCTATGGAATATCTGGTGCTGTCTCGGATGAGCTGTCCCCTCCACAGAATTATACGGGGTGTTTCCGAAACTAGGGCAATCAATGAAATGGATGATAGAATATGAAAAAACAAAACGGAATGAAATTATACATTCTCGTCGAAAACAAAATATTTTGGGAGTTATTGAGCTTCAAAGTTTGCCTGTAACGTTTGTAAATCATTGATCAGAATAGCCCTACCCACTCACGAAAGCGATGCTCCGACCTGGTGAGATAGAGTAGGCCATGTGCTGAGGCTTTTCTAGAATCCGATTACTGATCTCGTTGTTTCAGAATTACTTCGGAGACGCCTGGAACGTATTCGATTTCATCATCGTTTTGGGAAGTTTCGTGGATATCGTGTATCAGGATGTTAACGTAAGTTCGATTCGAGCGGACGATATACGGGGAAAGACACTAAAAAATATAGGTAGGAGATGGAGGAGGATGGACCCCCTTCCTCTACTCAACATTTGCCCAGCACCACCCCTAACAACACGAGTACATACTAGGGACGTCCCAGGGACATCCGCTTTCAGACAAATAGCACATCCAAGGGATTTCCCTTCTGGTATGTCCCTGGGATGTACCGAGTACGAAGAAGGGATATCCCTAGGACCTCCCAAGGATATCCCAAAGACATCCCTCCGACAAAAGAAAAAAAAATGTAGGTCGAGTAGGGATTGAACCCGGGACCTTCAGCTTATCAGGTACGCACGTTACTCCATTGGCTAATATGCCTTCTGAAGATTCATGTATTGAACAGATTCATAAACAGGACTAAACTACAGAAACCTGAATGAATAAAACTTTGTTAAGATTCGGGTATAATTATTATCATTCTTGGGTGTTTAAAAATGAGGGGCATTATGCATTTACGATGCCCGAGAAAAATTGTCATTTCTTGAGAAGTTTTGAGACAATATATTCTTTATTTTTATTACAATTATTTTCCGGAAGAAATACATTCTCGAAAATATTCGACTCATAATTTTGATGAATTCAGATTTTCTTCTCATTTTACTTTTCTGAAAATTTGTCGCTACAATGGACATCCCGACAATGAACTTATATGGATGTCCAATATGTACTTCCAAGTATCCGGTATGGACATCCAAGTGGATATTCGATGTGCGTCCTTGGACATAAATAGGCTTCCAGATGGAGTGCACACTAGATCAGCAGCTGGATATACAACGATGTGCATCAAAAGATAGTTCCATTTGGCATCCATGGATGTCTTGGACTTCAAATGGATATTAAATGGATGTCCTCTGGATAACGTGTGTTATAAGGGATGCGTGACATTTTAGATACTTTTTCATAACGTTTTCGTGACGTTGAGTGCCGAGTTAAAGAGGGGCCTCTTTCCTCGCCCCATCTCCTACTAACATCTCATTTTCGAACGTTTCAGAACATTCCAGAGATGCAAGATAGAGATTATCATGAATTGATCCTGGAATGTTCGAGAACATTCATGAATATTCCACAATATTCGAGTTTTTTTCTGGAAGGTTCATGGAAGTAACCATGATGGGAATAATTGGAGTAACATTCTGGAATATTGTCGTAACTTATGGACTATTGAAGAACATTCGAAGAGCGTTTGAGAACATTTGAAGTTTTTAATACGTCCAAGAACATTCGAGCTTCTATTTTAGAATATTTCCGAAATTTCAAAAAGATTCAAGATAATTGTAGAACACACTTATTGAAGCATTTGAGAACATTCATGAACATTCCAGAGTATTCGAGATCTGTTTTGAACAGTCCAGGAGATTTCAGAACATCAGAACAGTCCTGGCATTTCGACAATCTCCAGAACATTGACGATCAATCTAGGATCGTTTTGAATATTTTGAGAGCATTCGGGAACATTCCTTGACATTTCGATCTTGGATTCCTTGGAATTCTCGGAATTTCGAGGTCATTCAGGAACATCTAAATTTCAAAACATTCCTCAATTATTTGATAATATTTATGAATATTGAGAAACATTATAAATTTGCTTAGAAATTTCTGGATTTTTTGAAACATTCCTGAAATTCCTAGATTTAAGATCATACCTATACTTGAATCATTCGAGGATTTTTCATTCATCCATGGTAGGATGTACCCTGAAAATCATATAGCATTGACTAATAACATTCCATAACAAGTATTCAAGATTTTTCTCTAGACCATTCCTGAATGTTTCAGAAGAATACGGACATTTTGAGACCGTTCTCGAACATTCCTAAAACTTTTAGAATGATAAAGAATATTCCTGAAACATTCGAGAGTGTTCTGGAACATTACTAACAATTATTGAAAGTTTTAGTACATTCGAGGTCACTATAGAATATGACAACTTTTCTAGAATTCTCGAGATCATTATAGAACGTACTTGGAGTTTCTATATAACATTCGAAGCTTTATCTTAACATTCTTGACACACTTGAGAACATTAAACATAATTCTAGGAGATTTCTGGAACTATTAGAAAATTCACGCAATTTCTACAACATTCAAGGTTATTCTGGAACACTTCTGAAATTTTTGGAACATTCTAAACGATTCCAGAACCTTCTGGGACATTTTAGAAGATACCCAGAGCTTCTAGAATATTCGACAGCATTCTGAATCTGCTAGAATATGTTCGAACAGAATTATTTCCATTTAAATCCTATAGGGTGATGGAGATAGTTGAAACTTCATCCGCCTCTCACCCCCATAACTCCTACAACACTCACTTCATCCCAACTTCCATACACACAATGAGACATGCACAAGCTATTTAGCAGAGAATCAGCTTGTCTGCAACTTTTGTTGCTTGATCAGAGATCAATCACCGAACTCAAGCGTTTGCTTTCGGCGAGCACAGAAGCACCGGAAGTATCAACGGCTGCAGCACCCTATATGTTGGTCTACTTTTATGTTTATAGGGAAAACCCCCTCGAATGTTTCAGCCCGGCTCCAAGTTCCAACTATCTGGCAACTTTTTCCGATTGTTTCGTGTTATGAGACTCATCAAACTGTTGAGCAGAGGGGAAGGCATAAGGACCCTGCTGTGGACTTTCTTGAAGTCCTTCCAAGCTCTGCCCTACGTTGCCTTACTGATAGTCATGTTGTTTTTTATATATGCTGTCATAGGGATGCAGGTAATTTATTTATATTTGAATATTCACCAGAGCTGCCAACATGTTGTTTATTCTTTCAAAGTGTATTGTTTGATTTTTTGTCTTGAATTCTGTTACAGCTCAGATACACAGTTATATTTATCCGCATGTCCTTTGGTTTTGCATGACATTCACGTGAGAATACCATTATTTTTGATGATTCATCAACGTGAGGTAAAAAATGTTCTTCGTACTTTTAAAAGATCATCCCAGCTAACACAAAGAGGTCTTAGAGATATGTCGGCAACTTCCTTCCAGGAAATTGTGATGTCTTCCATTACTTCTTTGAGCGGTTGCCGAGAGCACTATTTTTGCTCCAAATGTTCCGCCGCCGGGATATTCTCAACGAGGTATAAGCGATATCCTACGAAGAAATTCACATACAATACCTTCAGGCGATTTCTTTGAGAAATTCGCATACAGAACCTTGTTCCGAGAACTTTGAGAGATTCGCATCAATTGCCACTGGTACGTTCTCCAAGTATTATTTCGAGATATTCGCACACATAGCCTTGTGGCGAGTACTTCAGGAGATTCGCATCAATTACTACTGACGAGGTCTGTGAGTGTTCGCAACTAGGAGTTATTCAAGATATTCCCACACACAGAGTTGCGGTGAGGAATTCGGGAGATTTACTCGCAACTACTAATGAACCAAGGAATTCACGAAAAATTTCCTTGTCGAGGTCTCTGAGAGTTCGCATCACGAACTGTTCAAGACATTCTCATGAGTATCATTTTGCGAGTTCCTCGAGATATCCTTGTCTTTAATCTTTATCTAAGGTACCAAGGATTTTTGTGGTATTCATAGGCTACCAGCAGTCGGCTGTCGGCATAGTGTTACTAGCGCCAGCTGTTAAGAATCAAGCTAAGTAGAATTCATCATTTTGTTCTAGCTAGGGAACTCCATGAGTTGAAGCTCACGGGCTTTAGCGTTTATGAAATGGAAGCATAGAACATAGTAGATAGGTATGTGATGGTGATTGATCAACTATGCAAGGTCAGGTAACAAAACAGATTATTTTGCTTGAGAAACAAATCTGGAATGAGAAGTTATGACTCAAATGTTTCTGCACTGTTCATGAAATCATTCTCCTCAAACCGTTTGATTCACGGTTTTTCACCCTGTATTCTATTGTTAAATCATTATTATCTTTAAGATTGACTATGTTATAGAAGAAAAATCGATTACAACAGTTATATAGTTTCATGAGGACTATCACCTCAAATTGTTTATATATATACATATATATATATAAAAATACAATAACTTTAGAAACAGTTCCAGAGGAAATCTTTCTAGGTGAGGTTGCAGTCAAAATTTTGGCCTTAATGAGAGGACTCTTTGTTACATAGCCGAGCTTTCGGAAATGTTTATTTCCTTTATCAAGACATCTATAAAAAATGGCTATGTAACAAAGAGTCCTCTCATTAAGGCCAAAATTTTGACTGCAACCTCACCTAGAAAGATTTCCTCTGGAACTGTTCTAAAGTTATTGTATTTTTACCTTAACTAGTCAGTCACGACTACCCTCCTCCTAACAATATATATATATATATATATATTAGGTATAGGTTTTGTGGGGATGCAGCTGATGTGGGACTCAAAAGAAAACTCTTTTTACTTTTGAGAAAGCTTTCGGAATTTATTTAATTCCTTCGTCAGTCTCTCTAAAATGGAATGCACAATTATAATATTCAGAAGAAATGGGTATTAAAAATTACTTACAGTATATGAGGTTGTAGAATTGCAAATCAGAATAATATGTAGTATAAAATTGTAAAAAATGCATAAATTGATGGATATAAAACTAATATAACTTTGTCAAAGTGACAATATGTAACATGAAAAAATACATGGGGTTGAAAAATTAGATAGGTAAAAGGTTGATCAAGATGGAATTGAATTTATGGATATATTGTGTCTATCATGCCTTTTATTCTCTATTTCTAGAATATTTGAATAAATTACATTTAAATTTTGAATATCTGTTTTTTTATTCATTGAGCATTTTTCATTTTTTATATAAATCATTTCTAAGAAACATCTCTTGAAAGTATTTTTCTCTGATATAAACATTAGAAATACACAGCCTGATATTATTTTAAAAAAATATAGATCATTACCATATATCAGGGATCTGACTTCAAAAATTAATAATGTACTAAAACAACAAGATGAAATTGTAATGACTAACAAACCAATCAAAACTGTGAGTAAACTTTTCACGAAATTGAAAGATAAAACTCCAAATATTGATAGAGCTGGTGTAGTATATGAGATAAATTGTAAAGAATGTGATCTAAAATATATTGGAGAGACATCTAGAAATTTGAAATCAAGAATTACATCGCATAAAAGTGATATTCGTGTAAAACCAAATGCATGCGCTTTATCCCAACATGTTAATGATACTGGACATCCAATGGATTTTGATAACATCTCGATATTAGTATCAGAGAAAAATACTTTCAAGAGATGTTTCTTAGAAATGATTTATATAAAAAATGAAAAATGCTCAATGAATAAAAAAACAGATATTCAAAATTTAAATGTAATTTATTCAAATATTCTAGAAATAGAGAATAAAAGGCATGATAGACACAATATATCCATAAATTCAATTCCATCTTGATCAACCTTTTACCTATCTAATTTTTCAACCCCATGTATTTTTTCATGTTACATATTGTCACTTTGACAAAGTTATATTAGTTTTATATCCATCAATTTATGCATTTTTTACAATTTTATACTACATATTATTCTGATTTGCAATTCTACAACCTCATATACTGTAAGTAATTTTTAATACCCATTTCTTCTGAATATTATAATTGTGCATTCCATTTTAGAGAGACTGACGAAGGAATTAAATAAATTCCGAAAGCTTTCTCAAAAGTAAAAAGAGTTTTCTTTTGAGTCCCACATCAGCTGCATCCCCACAAAACCTATACCTAATCTATTGATTTATACAGCTACTAATATTAATTGAATATATATATATATATAGGGTGTTCGAATTCAAAGATATGGGCAGATGATGTATATTATCGCATTTTTAGGTTCTCCCTGGAGAGCCAATTCCATCGATGGATCTTACTCGGGGTCTAGCGGGAATGACTACAGATAGGGTAATCAAAAACAAAAAATAGAATTTTTTGTGTCGAGACTATCATTATCGGTCAAAACGGCTCACATGTCCTCATCTTAACTTTTTATTCACTATCTACTGACATTAAATTGGAGAAAAATACAGGGTGGTTGAAGATTCAGAATTCTGATGTATGTATTTGTAATGATGGTGGGAGTATTTTTTGAGATTTTAGAATCATGTCGTGTGTTGATATTTTACTATCACTTATTATAGACGTTCGGTATATCTTTAGGAACTCGCACCAAGAATTTCTTGTGTGTGATACCCTCGCGATGACTTGAAGAACTCACAATAAGAATTTCTGATTCAGATTACGTTTGGGTCGACTGTACGAACTCGCAGTGAGAATATCTCGTTTACGTTACATACGTGATAGCTTCAGAAACTCGCAACAATCGCAACAAGAATTTCTTGTTCAGGTTACGTTCCAGCTAGCTTAACGAACTCGCAGGAAGAATTTCTGATTCAGGTTGATTGCGTAATAACTTTGAGAAATCGTTGTGGCAATGGAGTCGATAACTGAAAGGTGAGGTTTGAAAGATTTCTTCATGGGACTTCAAGGAGAAATTCGCTCAGTTACAGCACATAGCGATCTTCACTACCTCACGATAGGAGTTCGCATATGATCTTGATGTTGATCTCTCTGAGATCTCGCGGAGAGGTTTGTGTTACCTGGGATTGATATACATCATGAAAGTTATGAGACCCGAGAGGGATCCCTGTGGAACGCCAAAGTCAATTGTAGGTTTAATCTAGTACCTTATTTTCCATTCTTGAAATCGTTGGCAACTCTGAGGTTAGGGTAGGGTGATGTTTTACACGTTTATATATTTTGCAGATGTTTGGGAAAATAGAGTATGACGATTTGACATCGTCGTCCTCCATTAATAGGAACAATAACTTTGCAACTTTCTTCCAAGCAGTATTGATTTTATTTCGATCAGCAACTGGTAAGAAAATGACTGTGCCCTGGCGAGTCTAGCATTTTGTTCTATTTTTTTGTTATTTAAAGGGGAAGCATGGCAAGAAATAATGATGGATTGTGCTGACACCTCAGCTGCTAAATGCCACAAAAACGTTACCAAAACTGACTCAACGTGTGGGTCTGATGTGGCCTACCCATATTTTATATCCTTCTACGTGCTATGTTCATTTCTGGTAAGTTATTTTTCATCCCACTGACAGTTCGAGAGATTTTTAATATTTTGACTCATGCACATAGAATTATAGAAAATAAAGAAGAAAAATAGCCTTCTGCATGTATACTATCCTCATTTTATCATGAATGAACAGTTATTGAAAGATTACAAAAAATTTAAATACCTACTAATTTGGCCGTTTTTTCTTTGCTACCGGTCCCGTTTCTCGAAATTTTGATACCAATTCAGACACATACTGCCGCGACACACACACCACCATCCTCACCAAGCCCACCATATCTATGATCGGTATTTCCATCAGCAACACTCTTTCATGGGATAATCATGTCAGATCCATCGCAAAAGCTGCTTCACAAAAACTCGGATTCTTGTTCCGTGCGAAAAGCTGCTTTACACCTCAACAGCTTCTCATGATCTACAAAGCGCAGATACGGCCTGTTCTAGAATACTGTTCCCACATATGGGGTTCAGCACCAAAACATACGCTGATGCTCTTAGATTCCATCCAGAGAAGAGCCATTCGCCTGGTGGGTGACGCCACACTCACTCACTCTTTGACATCATTGGAGCACCGTAGGAAGGTCGGCGACCTTTCACTTTTTTATCGGAAATGTTCTTCAGAAATCTCTGCTATCATCCCCTCACTAGCAATACCAGCCAGACGAACTAGACAAGCCCAGTCAGCACATCCTTTCGTTGTCAACCTCGAAAGATGTCGAACAGCAATGTATCAAAACTCCTTCATCCATAGAACGGCTAGGCTCTGGAATTCATTGCCCGAGGAAGTATTCCCAACAACATATAATCTCCAGAAGTTCAAAAAAAATTCCAAGACCTATACCTCCTGTCCCTATCCTCCCTAGGAACGCACGATGTTCTTTGAACCATATAGGGATTTCCTTTCGTGCGCTCCAAGCGATAAAAAAAAATTGATTGTATGGTATTGTATTGTATACATAAGGAGTGAATATACTACGACCTAAATGATCTAATGTGTCTCCTTCTGTTGCTATTCCCGATGAGGTTGTCCACCGTAGCTAGGTATAGCAATTTCTCAAGTCCTATCAGACATTTTAGAATATGCACTGATGCGAGTCAAAGAGCTCGAAACCGGTCTGTAGGTGTCTAGCATGGCCTGGCTAAATCGTAATCAATAGGCCTTCAGGAAATAATCACTTGAATCAGTATTCGTTAATAAGAGTCGATGCATAGATTTCGGAAGGATGCAATTCAATGTTCTGCGTGGCATTAGCCAGGAGAGTAGTTGTTTTTCTCCCAGAATCTACCATTGTTGTTCATTCTATAAACATTGGTGGAAATGTCTTTGAGCTTTTTGTATTTATTTAACATTTCATTCCACTTTGAGCATTGTGCGAGGCATTGTGGCTATTTCGTAGATCATACAGGGTGAGTCATGAAGAACTGTACATACTCCTACCACGAATAGAGGCTCCTGAGGGAAATACCTAATGTCTATCAGGAAGTTTCCTCTTCAATTCATTTTCAATATATAGGGTGAATTATGAGATTTGGCGAAAACACTTTTTGGTCATAACTTTCGAACAGCTCCTTCGATTCGTCCGATTTTTTCATGGAATATTCCGATACTACTCTCTAAAAGCGACTGACCTATTCAGAATCGGCATAATCCAGGACCGTTCTTGGAAAATTTTTATATTTTGATCGTTCCTATGGATTTGAAAGCCCTTCAATGGAATGAATGCCGGCTGATTGATCGTCGGGAAAACGTCGCCCGGAGTGTCCTATATTCTTATTGCCTCGTACCTACGCTATAGTCGTTTTGCCGAAACATCCAGTTATAGGAGCAATGTATCGGGACTCCAATTTACCGTTAATGCATGTTTGTTTGGGAAGAAGACACTTTCTGATGGTCATTAGACATTCCCCTCAAGGGCCTCTATTCGTGGTAGGAGTATGTACAGTTCCTCATGACTCACCCTGTATATTTTGGGATGAATTTTTTCTTGAACTGACCAGAAAGGCTCACTTCTCTGGAACACTGTAGAAAAGTTAGCGATCTGGCTCTATTTTATAGATATTTTCATGGACGATTCTCTTCTGAAATACCTATCGACAATTGTTCCTCCCTTGGCAGTCCCCGCGAGATTAACCCGTCGAGTTGAGGCTTCGCACCCCTTCATGGTCACTTTAGAGAACTGCAGAACATCTCTTGTCCAAGACTCGTTCATCCAACGAACAGCGAGGCTCTGGAACACATTGCCAATAAGGAAGGTGTTCTCCGAGGCATGTAACCTCCAGAAATTTGAGAAGAACACCAATTCCTACATTATTTCCCTTGATTCTCACGATGTTTTCTGAACATTATAGGATATCCCTTTTCGTGGGAACCAGAACATGAAAAAAAATTCTATCGCGATCTCTTTCCAGATCATCAACCTATTCGTAGCCGTCATCATGGACAACTTCGACTACCTGACCAGAGACTGGTCGATCCTCGGCCCGCATCACCTCGACGAGTTCATTCGGCTGTGGAGCGAGTACGACCCTGACGCTAAAGGCAGGATCAAGCACCTCGACGTGGTCACCCTGCTCAGGAAGATCTCGCCGCCATTAGGGTTCGGCAAGCTCTGCCCGCATAGGGTGGCCTGCAAGAGGCTGGTGTCGATGAACATGCCCTTGAACAGCGACGGGACGGTGTTGTTCAACGCTACGTTGTTCGCGGTGGTGAGGACCTCGCTCAGGATCAAGACGGAGGGGAATATCGACGATGCTAATTCGGAGCTGAGGGCTGTTATCAAGAAGATCTGGAAGCGGACCAGTCCGAAGCTGTTGGATCAGGTGAGGATGACCTCTTCTTCCAGCGCTTTCGCCATAAAATTAGAGATTTCCTAAGTATACCACCCAAACTGACGTCTGAATTAACCCAGCAAACACCGAATCTCTGGTCGCCTTCTGGCCCAATGCATGATCAGTTGTCAGAGTGATGGCAACGGCTGAGCTGCAACGGGCGAACGTCGGCCCATTGTATGCTATATTGTAATCGTTTATCCATAAACCAGTCAGCACTGGACCAGTAAAGTATCAAATCGTGATGCCATTTCACTACGTCGTCTAAACATCGGCCCTTTGTATGGTATATTGAAATCATTCAACTATAATTTATATCTACACCATGAAACTATGTAATAATTGTGGATAACAATCTGGACCTTGGGGTCTGTCGTTATCCTATTTGATTTTCAATAAATAAATAAAAATAAATAATCCATCAGCCGGCACTGGGCAAATAAAAGGCATCCGCGCTTCACCAGACTTCATCATATGATAACACATCAGTCCTCTCCTGTGTAATTTCGATGAAAAGATCTATACTTCATGATGAAAAAATCTTAAACGAAATATTGGGAAACACTTAATTATTTTTTTTATGTTCTGGCTCCCACAAAAAGGGATATCCTGTAATGTAAATAATGAAATCTTTTTTTTGTAAACCCTATGATTAATAATGATTTTCTAACGTAGATAGTTGGTGAATTAGGTGAACCCTATTGTTGAATGTTGACAAACGAAGTCCCTTCACTTTAAACACTGTTATCCATAATAAAATAGGTAGGTATATCTCCATTATTTATTTATTTATTTTTATTTATTTATTTCAAAAAATACATCCAACAGGCCCAAGAGCCCATTAATAGGTGTACAAAATTAATAATAGGTGATAAGAGTAGTCCTATACTGAGCATAATTAATACTAAGTGAATGAGAGCATAATGTATAATTATCAATTAGGAAGTGTGCTGAGAATATCACGTTTGAATTGTGCAAATGACAAAAAGAAAATATCTACATTGGGTGTATTGTTAACGCTCCTAGACATTGTTGATAAAGGTGAGTGGAAGTTATGCACAGTGTTAGGTACGGGAAAGTAAAATGTGTTACATGAGCGAGATGAGAAACGAGGTACATTGAACATCATTTGTGACAATAAAGTTGAACAATCTATTTGGTTGTGTATTATTTTGTAAATAAAGCACATGTCTCTCATTTCGCGATACTTTCTTAGTGATATCAGATTAAACTCCTGTAGCAAGAGGTCATAATTATAGCCTCTAACGGGATAAATACCATGTTTTTTATAATGAGCAAATTTCTTCTGAAAGTTCTCAATAGCCATAATTCATTTGGAATGAGAAGAATCCCAAACAACACTGCAATACTCAAGTTTGCTTCTGACCATAGATAAGTAGATGCTCTTCAAAGAATCGAACGACTTGAAATCTCTACAGTTACGTATAAGAAAACCTAAATTTTTTTTATCGATTTAGAAATGATATGTTCAATATGGTTTGAGAAAGTCAGTTTTTGATCAAAAATAACTCCTAAGTCCTTCGATTCAGTGATACGCATAAGAGTGTTACCATCAAGTTCATAATCTTCTAGTGCTACCTATATATAAAATGATCCTTTCGACAATGATGGAGGAATAGTAATTGTGAATTCACCTATTATGTAATTTTTCGTTCTTCAACATTCCGTTGTATACGTCAATCGATATTTGCTCGCTGATAGGTAAATAAACCTACCACCTAATGGAGTCATAATATTTTACTAGGAAATTCAAAACAAACTCAGGTGACGAGTCACAGAAACTCGTCTACTTTATCGGAAAATCAAGTAGAAATTGTTGGCCTCTGTTAATGATATAATTATTATGGGTATCCATTGATAGTACTCATAAGTCATTCGTAGTCAATACCTAACGAGAAATGAAAATAGCTCAGTTGGTAAGATCCCGGCTTCGTGTTCCATAGGTCGCAGGTTCGAACGTCGGTTCGGCCGTCGGCCAGAGTGACCTATTGACGTCTGACCAACGTTATTTGCCGCTCATTTGCCGCGTCGGCAACTTCTACCAAGCAGGTTTTGGGCCGACGTAATAACGATCAAAATTGTTTGCTGGATTCACTCTCGTGATAATTTCAGAATAAAAACAACAAATAGAACAATTTCGGTTGACCACAATTTTATATACAGGGTGTTTCATTGGGAAAGATAAATAATTCAACTGTGGATAGGTGTCACTGGGGTGATTTCAAAAAACCCATGGTTGATGGGTCTTCGACTTCTTATAACCGAGATACAGGATGTTTCATCAATTTGGTCCATATCTTCATTGTCTCATAACTTTCCAACCAACCTGTATATATTTTTAAAAATTGGTACACTTGCTCAATCTACCCTGTGGAATTGATTGAGGCAACAACAAAAGATAAAATCCAGGCTCGGCTTCACTTGAAATTCACAAATTCTCTCTGCCAGAAAACAACACCCTATACATTCGAATTTCTCATTTTTTTGCCATATCTGAAAAGAACATCAAAATTTCTATTCAACGATGTGCTTTTCATTCGTGCACAGACGATTTTAACTATTCATATTATGTGCTCAAAATATTATTTTTGCTCATTTTGGGGAACAAAATTGGAATCAGACGAGATTTATTAATTTTATTACTTCCTATTCAGTATAAGTACGTGAGTATTACATTTAGAAGGAGTATTCCATATCGTTCTTTGTTCCAGACTTAGTTGCAGGTCCGTCATCAAAACTATACAGGGCTTTTCACGATAAGCGTTAATTAGATGTTTCTGCAAACCAGGCAACGGATAAATCTAAAAACTCGAAAGTATGTATAAATTAACATGATCTACACGTCTGAAATATTTGAAACCATCCGGCGTTGCCGCTTCTACTCGAAAATAGCAGTAACTTTGATTTTTCAAATGGGACACCCTGGATGCTTCCTGAAGAGCTGATTTAATCGATTCACAAAGTTCGGGGTCTAGTGCGACTAATAACTGAGATATTCAGAGTGAGAAAAATCGAGATGTTTCAACTTAAGAATTATTTTGCGAAAATATTTTATTATTGATCAAAACGGCTTTTATGTCCCTATCTTTACTTTGTATCTATTGACATTTAATCGAAACAAATACGGGATGGTTCATAATTCAGATTTCTGTACCACCCTGTATCTGTTTCAATTGAATATCGAATGGAAAGTTGAGATAGGGACATTGAAGCCGTTTTGACCATGCAATAATAAATAGTTTCAACACAAAACATTTCTAAAGTTGAAACATCTCGATTTTCCACATCCTATATCTCATGTTATCAGTCCCGCTAGACCTTGAATGTTTTGAATCGATGAATTCTGCTGTTCAGCAAGAATCCAAGAATGTAATGAAATACAGGGTGTCCCATTTGAAAAATCGAAGTTGCTGCTACTTTCTAGTAGAAGCGACAAGGCCGGATCGTTTCAAATATTTCAGTAGTGTAGATTATGTTAATTTGTACATACCATCGAAATTTCAGATTTATCCGTTGCTTGGTTTGCCGGAAACGTCAAATTGACGCTCATCGTGAAAAGCCCTGTATAGTTTTGATGACGGACCTGCAACTAAGTCTGGAACAAAGAACGATATGGAATACTCACGTATGCTGAATAGGAAGTAATAAAATTAATAAATCTCGTCTGATTCCAATTTTGTACCCCAAAATGAGCAAAAATAATATTTTGAGCACATAATATGAATAGTTGAAATCGTCTGTGCACGAATGAAAAGCACATCGTTGAATAGAAATTTTGATTTTCTTTTCAGATATGGCAAAAAAAAATGAGATATTCGAATGTATAGGGTGTTGTTTTCTGGCAGAAAGAATTTGTGAATTTTACGTGAAGCCGGACCCGGATTTTATTTTTTGTTGTTGCCTTAATCAATTCCACAGGGTAGATTGAGCAAGTGTACCAATTTTTGAAAATATATACAGGTTGGTTGGAAAGTTATGAGACAATGAAGATATGGACAAAATTGATGAAACATCCTGTATCTCGGTTATAAGAAGGCGAAGACCCATTAACCATGGGTTTTTTGAAATCACCCCAGTGACACCTATCCACAGTTGAATTATTTACCTTTCCCAATGAAACACCCTGTATAATTGTTCTATTTGTTTTTATTTTGAAATTACCTTGGACCACTCAGAGATATAGATGGGTTTTCTCGTGATAATCATTATCCTGGCATTCCGCAGGTCGTCCCGCCTCCAGGGGTGGACGACGAGGTGACGGTGGGCAAATTCTACGCCACCTTCCTCATCCAGGACTACTTCAGGCGGTTCAAGAAGCGGAAGGAGCAGGAGGGGCGCGACGGCGACGGCGAGGCGCGCGACACCGTCACGCTGCAAGCGGGGCTGCGCACGCTGCACGAGGCGGGGCCGGAGCTGAAGCGCGCGATTTCGGGCAACCTCGACGAGCTGGTCGACGACAATCCGGAGCCGATGCATCGCGTGAGTATGGGGCAGTGTTGCCAGCTGCCGAACATAATGTCACAATAAAATAGTTGTTTGGTGTTGAAAATGAATCAATATATTTTACTTAGTTTTTGTATGGGTACAGATGGTTTTAGCATGCCTATCTGTGTGCACTACCAGGAACGCCCCATTTGAAGATCAAACCGAGGCAGTCCAGTTTTAGCATGCTGGACCGTTCGCAAATCCTGGCCAGATGCCCCATATAAAAACACATTTTTATATTCAATACTTTAAATAATGAAAACTGTCTCACACGATATAAATAGATGGTTAATCCATCCATATCTATACATAAGGGGTAATGCTTGGCTTAATATTTTGCGAGAGGTAACATTCAAATAGGCACTAGTAGTTTAGGGGTATCTGGAAGTATGAGATTATATTCAAACATAACAATATTTATTATAGCATGAAACATTATGGGTGAAGTGATTATGAATATGAATGAACAACAATGAATATAAAGATCGAATAACAACTTACATTATAACAACCATACGACGAGCTCTTGTCAAGTCAAGAGTAGCCCCAGACCAGACTAACTTCGGAACCCTCACATCCAATCGGAGTATATACGACATTTATTAGATATGCACGTTTCTCATGAGAGTTCCTTGGTCAGTTTTTATAACTCAATGTCAACGGATGATTTGATTAACTTTATGTTTATAAAACCCTCATGGTTTGAAATAACTAATATACCGTATGTTCTACTCGTGACAATAAGATGACGCAAAAAGTTGGGAAAAAACCGCTAGAAGTTGCCATAGCGAGCGGAGCGAGCAGAAAACCCGACTTTTTTTTCGTGAATTAGCGACATTTTTGATCATACCTCCTCATTTTCAGTTTATAACAGATACAAAAAAATCTTAGAGAAATTTATTTATCCAGAATATGTTATTCAGAATGAAAAAAGCACATCAAATATAAAAAACCAAATGAATATTGATGAATTTTCTCATACAATTTCATTCGGTACTATTAGAGGTAGTACATTGGTATATCACAACTCGATCGTATATGAGGTTGTCAAATCATCTAAGTCACATTGGTTCTTCTAAGTTTAAATACTGATTTATGCAAAATATCGAATTTATGGCACAGAAGTAGCGCAATTGATGAAAATCAACCCTGTCATCTGTCATTCTCTCATCTGCTTATCTCTTCGTCTCGAATTAATGTATCGATATGAATTATTCATTTCCGTCGTCACCAATTCATATGATCAAAATATCTCCATATAAATCGCTATGACTATCACAGGATGGAAGGAATGTTCGAAGTCCACAAATTTTGATGATATCGTTACTAGAGACATGTTTCGGTCTTATAAAAGACCATCCTCAGTCTAATTGAAAGCTTTGGAGTTGAAAAATTTTTTATAATGCTACTATTCCTTGAACTGTCAATGCCCATAGTCAAGAATTCCAAAGGTTCAGAAAAAACGGGTTCTCAATAATAATATACTATTGAATTTTAATGAACATTTCATATACCAGAATGGTATATGAAGGGTGTTGTCAAAAATTTTGTTTTTTGACAACACCACCTAGTAACGGGTTCTTCAAAAAGGGGTGCCCTTATGAAAGCGCTACTCAAAGGAAAATATCAATAAAATTGATGGGGCAAACAGCCAGCACGTGTCATTAAGGAACACCATGTATAGTTTTGCTCACAAAAGACACTCATCCCCATAGGAGGTTCCATAGCATCTTATTGTAAATTATGATCCGGATGGAACACTGAGGAACTCTACACACCGGGTCAGTTTTCGAGAGATTTACTTCTGGTTGTTCGAATTTCTTCTCAATTGACACACCATATTTTTCTGACTCTTATACTTTGTTTTTGCAGAGGAACCATTCGCTGTTCGGAAGCGTTTGGTCGTCGATGAGGCGAGGCCACACGTTCAATCGCGCCAAATCCCTGAAGCTGAACTCGACCCAAATCAAAATAACACCGGCGTCCAGCGTCGATTACCTCCCGTACAACTCCATCAAGAACGCAGTGGCCGAAGGTATGTACAAGAATTTTTTTTTTTATTTGATGCCATAAGAAGACCCCAGGGGAAAAAGGGGGGATTTTTTTATGTTCTGGTTCCCACGAAAAGCGATATCCTGTAATGTTGAGAGAACATCGTGAGAATCAAGGGAAATAAGGTAGGAATTGGTGTTCTTCTTAAATTTCTGGAGGTTATATGCCTCGGGAACATCTTCCTTGGCAATGTGTTCCAGAGCCTCGCTGTTCGTTGGATGAACGAGTCTTTGGAAAGAGATCTGCAGGTCTCCAAAGCGACCACGATGGGGGGGTGCGAAGCCTCAACTCGACACGTTAATCTCGCGGGAACTGCCAAGGGAGGTACAATTACCGATATTTCACAAGAGCATCGTCCATGAAAATATATATTGAATAGAGCCAGATCACCAACTTTTCTACGGTGTTCCAGAGAAGTGAGTGAGTTTGTGAGCGAGGCATCACCCACGAGACGAATTGCCCTTTTTTGGACAGAATCCAACAATTTCAGGGTATGTTTGGGTGCTGCGCACTCCAAATATGGGAACAGTATATTCCAGGACAGGTCGGATCTGTGCCTTATAGAGCATAAGCAGCTGACTGGAAGTGAAATAGCTTCTGGCCCGAAACAGAAGACCAAGTTTTTGGGATGCACTTTTAGCAATTGATATCACGTGATTTTCCCATGAAAGGTTATTGCTGATAGTAAAACCAAGCATCAAAATGGATGTCTTCAAAGGTATGGTTACTCCTGACAAGCTTATGTTGGGCAAAGTGAGATCAGCTTTTCTAGAGAACAGGCATGCTTGTGTTCTGTATGCATTGAAATCTACCAAGTTATTGGATCTCAATTCCCTCGTTCGTTTCTGATTTGCCTGGCTGGTATTGGAGCCCTGAAAGGGAAGGCGGTATGAAGGGTACTATCATCCGCGAAGCTGTGTACTGGACATGAAGTTGTTTCCAAAAAATCGTTGATATGGAGTAGAAATAGTGTTGGTGCTAGAATTGATCCTTGCGAACAACAGCATTATTTATGATAAGAGAGTCAGATGAAACTCCGTCGACATGGAGAGACCTGTTTGAGAAAAAACTAGCTAGCAGAGAACATAGCTGGGGAGGCAAACCATAATAATATCACAATATAGTGGAAATTGACTTGACACCGCCATCTGATAGTCTATAAACTATATTTTAGTATGAACAGAAGTCCATGGCAATAACGCAACATAGTCAGCTAATATATGCTCGTTCGAGAATACGTTCACTTGGAAAAAACGCGGAATGTCCACTTAAAAAATGTGAAGGGGAACGTCCAAGTAGTGCTTGCTTGAATACAGATTCTATTGTGATTTTAATAGGTTGTTTTCACACTGTCAAAAGGTCAGAGTGAACTCTCAGGCAAACAAAATATGAGAAAAAAAGGAGATACGGCCAGCTTTCTCTCATCTCTTGGAGCGTACGAAAGGGAATCCCTATAATGTTTGGGGAACATTGTGAGTACCTAGGGAGGATAGGGAGAGGAGGTAGGTATTGGGATTTTCTTCAACTTTTGGAGATTATAAGTTCTTGGGAAAAATTCCAAAACTTTGCCGTTCTATGTATAAACGAGTTTAGGTAAAGAGTTGTTCGACATATTCCGAAGTTAACGACAAAAAGGTGTGCTGACTGGGTTTGTCGAGTACGTCTGAGTGACTGAAATGAAATAATGAGATTGCTACATGATGATTTCTACTCATATCGCGTGGAATTTATAGAAAATGATCAAATTATAGATATGCTAGATGTACTATATGACAACTTACCGCTCATTAGGTAGTCAGGCAAGCATGGGGACAATTCCCCATTCTATCGTTGAATCTTTGGACTTATTTTTTCATTCAAATATATGATTTTTATTTCTAGTTCTTCAACTTTATTGCTCATTATACTCCATCAAATGAATCCAGGTGGTTTGATTTCAGTTTCCTCCAGCTTCCAAAGAGTAAGGAGGTTTTAAACTTTGGAATGCGTTTTTCTTGAAACTTACTTTCTGTGACATTCCCCCTTTTTCCCCTGTGATCTTCATATATTCATTCACTAGGATAGCTAGCTAGGATATCTCTAATGATACGAAACATTTTTCAGTCCTCAGCATATACTAAGAAGCTTGCACTTTCGAATGCATCTGAAATAGCATTTATAAACAGATTGAATACTAAGGGTACGAGCATAGTGAAGCTGCATCGAGCATCACCTCGAACATCAGAAACGAAAACATATTATAATAGATACAAACCATTCACAGTGAAGAATCGAGCATCACCGATTCCAAGGCTTCAAATTCATTTAATATTCAAGCATCTCTCCAGGAATGGTGCCCAAAATCTGATATATGATTGGTACGCACAAGTTCCTGTAAACGCACTCGCCGTATTTTCTTTGTTATCAATGTCATTTAGTTGTTTTAGAAGTGAGAAGAGGTATAAAGTGTATTGCATTTGAATACCGTTCTTGAATTTACTCTGAAATATATGTTAATATTTTTAAAGACTCTTTCTCATATATTCCTGAAATTTTCCAGTAAACCGTTTCAGTTCACTGAAAAGTCGATGATATTCACCAAATTGCCTCCGCAATTGGTTTACCAAATGGGCATCATATTTTCGTTCATTTTTACTGCAATTTATCCACCATTTTACTGCTGCACTTGCATATCCCACTAAGCAAAGTTGAAAGCTATATATTGATGCAATGTTGAAGCAATAACTGAAACGGGCGTTCAGCAATAATGCAAGGTGAAGTTTGATAATGTAGCGTTGCAGCAATATTACATGTTGCTGTGACATTGCTGGAACGTTACATACAAATTAACATTTTCAATGTTGCTGAACGTCCGACTCAGTAATTGCGACAACCATCGACAACATTACTTCCAAATTAGCTTGGTGGGATGTATCAGAATCGCCACACTTTTGATATACTGTGCTAGTCAAAAGTCCCCTCCCCCCCTCGTATCTTTTGAACGGGTATACTTATAATAATGGGCTTATGACGTCATTAATGACTATTGCGTCACTTGTTATGACCAGTTGAGAAGCCTACATCCGTTTATTTCCACCCTCCAAATTTCATTATTATAAGTATACCCGTTCAAAAGATACGAGGGGGGGAGGGGACTTTTGACTAGCACTGTTTAAACAATTTCTTCCTATATCCAACACCTTATTACTACGACTGTGGCTTTGTGATTTCTGCAACTGCACTTGAACTATGTTCGTACCCTAAGGGTCCACAGTGAGAACCCTGAGGGACCCCCCTATTTGAGAGCGGCCAAAGAGGATTTTGTGATACCTCAGCCTCTCCTCAGGGCTTTTTCAGTGAGATTATATATATTCATGGAATGAAGGATATCTGGATTGATTGATTGATTGATTTATTGATTGATTGATTGATTGATTGATTGATTGATTGATTGATTGATTGATTGATTGATTGATTGATTGATTGATTGATTGATTGATTGATTGATTGATTGATTGATTGATTGATTGATTGATTGATTGATTGATTGATTGATTGATTGATTGATTGATTGATTGATTGATTGATTGATTGATTGATTGATTGATTGATTGATTGATTGATTGATTGATTGATTGATTGATTGATTGATTGATTGATTGATTGATTGATTGATTGATTGATTGATTGATTGATTGATTGATTGATTGATTGATTGATTGATTGATTGTAGGGATGAACCACATCACCGCGATGACGAAGAACGTGCAGAACAGGTCAAGCGTCTTGTCGCTGAATAATCAAGAGGGCGTCAAGGACGAGGAGATCCCGCTAAGGGCGCTCAATAACTTGCACAACGGGGATGACAAAAACAACTATACGGTTATCGAGTAAGTTTATACTTTTCATAGCTGTGATGATCTGACAGATGGAGGCTGTAGATACAGAAATGTGACCAAAAAAATCACAATGATATTTAGAAAATCCTGAATACGTGTTTCGGCAACTACCACAGAATAAAAAAGGTACGTACCATGTGATAATAATAACGTTATATGAATACGTTTAAGTAACATATATTCTACGTACTTATTTCACGATTCGTTGATAAATTTGTTGAAAGGACGTATTGCTCATCATCAATTTAACTTCTGATTGAAAAAACATTTTCCGCGACATTTTCACCAACTTTCAACGGTTGGTTGAACAACCGATTCTTAACGTTTTTTCAACGTTCAGGTGCCCATTGGGATAGGTATACCTCTCTTATTTTCAACATGTACATGAAAAATTTTGAAACAGCTCCACATAGAACTTTGTTTCCTTGTCGAATCAACAGGTACACTTTACTATCTGAAAAAATGTAAAGGGAGCAACAAAAAGTGTTTGAATGTGAAATTAAATAGGTAGGTACCCTATACATTTACCATTGAAAATAACCTTTTGCAGAGCTTTCCGATAATACTTCTCTAGATAGGTATTATATTTATCTTATTCTGTATTTCTCGAAATGTGGGCATTCAACACTAACAAAATTTGATGGATTTCTAAAGATTTTCGGGAGTGGACCACATTGAACGTTATTTACATTGGGTTCAATAGTAGACCATGACGATGAGTACAAATATTAATTGTCAGTGATCATCTTCAATGGGAATTGAATGTCATAGGTAGCGATATAGCGAATATAGGTACCTGGATTTGCAACCAATGTCATAGAAAGATAATTATATTGTGGGGAATTTATGGAAAGCTCTTCGAAAGATCTTTCCAATGGTGAGGGAGTATTTTTAGCGTTCTATTTAAAATTCATACACTTCTTGCTGCTCACTTGCTGGATATCTTCTCAGAGGCTATTTTTTCCTTTTTTATTCTACTGTCAAAAATAATATAGGAGTTAGTACTTCATAACGTGTCAATAGGTAGGTACATTGAATTGAATAATCATCTCAAGAATCTATTTGAACATTAATTCTCAAATAAGACATTTCAATAATATGAGATATCCATAACTGTTCCAAATTATCTCCAATAGGGCTTTCTAGATACGATAGATAGATAGATAGATAGATAGATAGATAGATAGATAGATAGATAGATAGATAGATAGATAGATAGATAGATAGAAAAATTAAAGCAATATCCTGATTAACTACAGTGGAAAAAATCTTAAAGTGAAAGGCAAGAACACTTATATCTAGAAAAACACTATGGCGTTCATAATGATAAGAAAAAGTACAAACAATTTTTTCGAATTTTGACTTCTTTCTAGATTTCCCAAAATCAATTCACAAAGAAGTAATCCCGTTAGAACACTGAAACAATTCAGTTACGGAAATACGTACTTAGGCTTTTCTTGATGTTGTTGTGGTGTTTTGGGTATATCTTTGTATCTGACAGATGACCGTTTATTATGGAATATACACATCCTGTGGACTGTTCATTCCAAATAAACAAATTGACAATTTTTACGCTTACAGGATATTATTAGATGTTTTTCTTCCAGCAAAAATTCATTTATTTCATTATGATCAGATTTATGTTGTTTTTATAATCACTAAAGTACTGTAGTGTCTTTTTTTAATCACTATAATGATGAGGTATGGTTTTGAAAGTATTCATCTTCCCTATTTCTGCTTTGATTTTGATGAATAATGGATATTTTCCATACTATGTCGGTGCTTAGAACTTCTTTTTCTGATTTACTATAATTTTATGTAGAACAGATTTTAGAAGTTTCTCTTGACTGGATAGAGAACTATCTTGATATATTTATTGCTGATTTGAGTTTGGTTCTTGAGAATTCTTGATCACAGTATGCGAATCTTTCAAATCCATACACTTGCAATCGAAAACATTTTTCAATACAAAGACACTCGTTACTGTTAGTGATTCGACTACCTCGAGGCACTCCTTTTGCTATCCAAGCAGGAAGAAATACTCAATTTGAATGTGCAGATCTGTTTTGTTTCTCAATTATTTACATTTGATATAGTTTGATGAACTTTGAACGTTTGATTCCTCAATTTATTAGAAACAGGAGAATTCTGTTTCGGATTTTAGTTCACACATTTCATTGATTTTGTATGTGGAATGCTCTACTTCTCTTGCTTGAAAAAATCCTTCCATTATCTCAGAAAGCTTCCAATCATTCAGCTGCCTTCTCATGCTTTCTGTGCTTCCTCAGTCAACGATACACGATCGCCGAATCAGATCTATAGAAAAAACAATTGAATGAAGGTTACGAGGAATACATTGGTCAAACATGCCAGGTTACAGGAACACGATTCAACGAACATGTTGCTCTTCAGAACGCTGATAGCTCCGAGAAAGTTAACTTGATATGTTTTTCTGATTTTTGTTAAGAAAATGTATGACCATCAAATGAAAATTGTTTTGCTCCCTTTGGATTCGAACACACTGAAGATTTGATATATCGGAAATAATTAATCTTGTTTTTGCCAATTGGAGGCGGAAACCTCTGAGATAATGAAAGTTCCATGAACAAAATTCGCAACCAATGGCAGTCTCCTTAAAAAAATTATGATTTTTCAGTAGATCTGGCTTCCTGCACCCTAACTACAAGGGTAAGCGATAGCTGGTGTGATATTTTGCCTGACGTTTTGATTTCGTTTTCATAACATGGAGTTTTTGAGTTTCAATTGAAACGCTAACCGGTTTTGGTGATGTTAGTCCAGTCGTCAGAGAAACCCAGCAACAGTGGCATGGTGTAATATGATTTTCTGCAGAATTTACTCTGAGATATTGTACTGAAATATATTCCCCCTTATATTTTACTGAATCGGTTCGAACTGGTTGCTAGAAAATAATCCATCCAAAACACGACATCATTTAGTTTTGTGAGTCGATACCATACAAATTGATAGCTCCGGCATATGTTTCGTAATTTGTCTTGATTGTTGTGGATAGTATTCTCACAGTTCGAATAGCTATACATTGTGTCCCACTTATTACCATGCTCACCATGGGTATCTTTTTAACAGTGAGAGATACGAGGTCGGTTAAATGACACCAAATGTGGAGTTTGTCAAGGCCAACTATAATGTGAAAAAATATTTTGATAAAATCTATTCGTTTTTGTTTTATACGCAAAAAACAGATTTTGATCATTTTCATGTCTCCTCCGTAACTTCTTTATTTATGAAAATATTCAAATAGGAATTTCACATTCTCATGGCAGTTTTTCAAAGTGATTTCGAAAAAAATATGAAATTTATACCAACTCTTCTAGAATTTGAAATATCAGCACCAACTTTAGTTTTTCAAATGTAGGTCATAGCTCACTATGACTTAGTTACAAATAACTTTTTTTCTCTTACAGATGATATGTCGCAGTAATAGTTTTGTGTTGATAGCAACGGAGTTATCGTCATTTATACAAAAACAAAAAATTATTTGGAAACCACCATCTTGAATTTTTAAATTTTAACAAAAAAAATCATGATCTCCGACCTCAAAAACCCCCACTTACCAATTTTGAATGGAATCGGACCAAATCTTGTCCGCCATCTTGGAGCAGCCATTTTTTTTAATTTCAACAAAAATTCCATAATGTATTGTCACCGAAATTATGAACACCTGCCAAATTTCAAGTTGATCGGAGTTATGAAATTTTTGTTGAAATAAAAAAATGGCTGCTCCAAGATGGCGGACAAGATTTGGTCCGATTCCATTCAAAATTGGTAAGTGGGGGTTTTTAAGGTCGGAGATCATGATTTTTTTGTTAAAATTTATAATTTCAAGATAGCGGCTTCCAAATAATTTTTTATTTTTGTATAAATGACGATAACTCCGTTGTTATCAACACAAAACTATTACTGCGACATATCATCTGTAAGAGAGAAAAAAGTTATTTGTAACTAAGTCGAAGTGAGCTATGACCTTCATTTGAAAAACTAAAGTTGGTGCTGATATCTCAAATTCTAGAAGAGTTGGTATAAATTTCATATTTTTTTCGAAATCACTTTGAAAAACTGCCATGAGAATGTGAAATTCCTATTTGAATATTTTCATAAATAATGAAGTTACGGAGGAGACATGAAAATGATCAAAATCTGTTTTTTGCGTATAAAACAAAAACGAATAGATTTTATCAAAATATTTTTTCACATTATAGTTGGCCTTGACAAACTCCACATTTGGTGTCATTTAACCGACTTCGTATCTCTCACCGTTAAAAAGATACCCATGGTGAGCATGGTAAGTGGGACACACTGTATATGTTCACCGTATCCATATTAACATTACGGCATTGTCTGTACAAGACAAAAAGACAAAGAGCTCCGATTGGTAGTTTCTTGTAATGATGGGTCGTGTCCTTTCGGAAGAATCTTCATCACAAAATTCAGGAAAAAACTCAAGCTCTTCTACCAGAAAGCTGTTCGACACTGAATTAGAGGTGAAAATATTCTGAATACAATTTTTGCACTTACCTTCGGGTAGGTTTGTTCATTGATCGATTTTGTGTACCCTGTAAGTTCCGCAAAAACCCCCGTTACACTGTGCCACCATTCAACCCCCCTCTCACTCCTGATTCCTATGAAATTTGACTACAATTCGTAGTTGGATGAGAAATGATGAAGTTTTTTGCATTTTTTTGTGAGTTCTTCTGGTGTCATGCATTTCTTGAGATTTTCCTTTTGAAAATCTTAAAGACTTATCAATAATAATCGAAGGCCAATGAGAGACGAATATACAAGGTAGCTTGGAATGCAGCGCCGAAACAGAGAACTCAATTTTGCTTGAAATGCTGAGAGGATTCTGTAGATACATCGCTGAAAGTGGTCATTACGCCGAAACAGCTCTTTGGACCTTTCTCCGAAAATGACCAAATTACCGAAATGTCTCATTGGACATTAATATTGCCGGAAGGACAGTATACCTATATAGTACTTTGAAAAACTTAAGAAACACTATTTTATATGTAGATAGCCAAACTAAAAAGTAGAAACTAAAATTATGAAAGTGTGTTGATAAATACGCATCACAGAGTATACTGATTATGGAGGTGCTATGATATTTTTTATGTTGTGTATTTATGAACACGCTTTTATCATTCAATTTTCTACTTCTTTTTAGTTTCTATACGAGCAAATTTTCTTAGTTTTTTGAATTACTATACATCAAGAGCGTGTTTTTTAGTTATTTTTTAATATTCTTATTTGTATGTATCCAATAATTTTGAGGTAGGAATCATAATGTCCGACTCAGAAAACCACCAGATACCAATTTTGGATAGAATCAGATCGTAATTACGAAACTCGTTCGTCATTTTGGAGCCGCCATTTCGATTTTTCGTTTCAAATTTCATGATGCCGTGTCACCAGAAATATGTACACCTACCTATACTATCAAATTTCAAATCAATCGGACGTTTATTTGAAGTGCGTCAAAACAAACATACATACATCATAAGATAATATAAGAGTGTTTTTAATAAATATGGCGGGCGACCTCAACTGCGAAAAGAATATAGGTAATCAGTTTCATATACCGGGTCTCCCAGATATTTTCATACTGTCAATAGTACCTCAATTGAGCTGCTTATAATTATAGCGGAGATAAATACAGAAGATAAATCAATATGTTCAAGGTACTATACTTTATGAAAACGTTTTGGAACATTTTCATAATGTTTGTAGCATTCTGGTTCATTTCTTTCAATAGATTCAGTCACGTGCAAATGTTTGGTTTAATTTTTTTTTAATTTTTCGAATACGAAGCTATCAGAATTGAAAAAATCTAGAGTTATTTCGGCGAAATGTTCAAACAGCTGTTTTGGCAAGATGACCACTTCCAATCAAATGTCCAAATAATTTGGCGAAATGTAAGAAGACCTTTTCCGGCGTTTTCACCACTCTCGGTGATGTGTTCAAAGCATATGGAAAATTGAGCTTTCCACGCGGCATTTCCAAAATTCAGCGACTTGTCCATTCGGTGAAGTGTAGCTCGACTACAAAACTAAAAGGTGTTCCCTCCATTTTTCCCCCAAAATTCAAACCAACCCTCTACAAATCAGTCTTCCATCCAGTGTTGCCAGAGTTGGTACGATTTCGTTCGGTGGTACTGAAATGTACGTCGGTATCTTTCATTTATTTTCAGTACCTTTTCATAAGTCACTTTTTCAAATGGTTTATCGATGAGTCAGAATTCCTATTCTGTAACTCGACTCCATAATCCATTCTATTTACTTACTCGTTTTGAGTAATCCCTGTTTACGTATAGACCTCCATGACGAAATTGTTAACATACGAAAAACAATGTTTACGAATTGTGAATTGTCCTCAAATTGTGTTGAAGTCATTAGTGTTATTGTAACGTAATAATAAATTTTTGTTTTCGGTTTGTTATGGTCATTTTTGATTGTTTATTGATATCTGAACATTTATTCGTGTCAAAATCACAGGAATCTGTGCTGCAGACCTCTTTAGACACCACCCTGACTTTGATCATTTTGACTCATCAATTAACGTACATACATATAGATATTTTGAGGTATACGTGAAAGTACGTAGGATAAGGTACACCCGTAAACCCAATATTCAATACCAAGGCAAACGTGAAGAATTGAGAAATGCGCATGCGTGTCCAAGGAAGCACTTCAACTTCCTCCCAGCAAACAATTTTGGTCTGCCATAATATGCCAGAACGGCAAAATTCCTGTGAACGTTGATGAGCCAGTACCAATAATAGGAGACTCTGGCCGTCATCAGGGCCAGTACATGTCTGCCGATACATTCAAATAAAAAAAAGGCGACCGCCACGAGATTAGAACCCCGGTCCTCTGCTCATACTTGGTTTACAAATCAAACTTATTCCATCTGAACTACTATATGCAACCTTTCTTGATATTATCCCAGCAAACAAATTCGGTCGCTATTACGTCGGCCCAAAACCTGCTTGCCAGAAGTTGCCGACGCGGCAAAAGAGCGGCAAACGACGTCGGTCAGACGTCAATAGGTCACTCTGGCCGACGGCCGGACCGATGTCTGTATACCGTCAGACCTAAAATTTAGAAAAAAAGTGACCGTTCGCCGCGTTCGAACCTGCAACATTAACATAACATAACAAAGGACAAAAAAACGTCACTTTCAGATGCTCTAATAATCTAGCTTTTTTTTCAATGTGTTACCTTGGATGAGGCAGCAAACGCATACTCTCGATCATTTCAGTGGGTAGATGCGAAAATCAGTGCTTCTCATCGACTGTAGTGTGACATATTTAATTTAGGTACGTCAACTCTCGATTTCGGTACGTTTTTTGTGTGGTTTCGGTACCCTAGAATTAGGATTGCTGGCAACCAGTCTTGCCAGCTTCTGAACATGAAATGTCGCAAAAACTTAATGAAGTTGCTAAAGCGAGCGAAACGAGTAGAAAACTCGCAAATTTAGCGACTTTTTTCGTGATTCAGTGACATTTTTGATCATATATCTCCCCATTTTCAGTTAGTTTGTAACATCAGACAAGATATCGTAGGAAACATTATTCATTCAGAATCTGTTCAATATCGGTAACTTTTCATATACATGTTCATCCGGTTCTATTAGGTACACTGAGAGGAATAGACGGTAGTCAATATACCAAACGTTTAGTGAAATAGGCGCCAGTCACAACATTCATCAAATAATCCCAGAAAAAAATGTTATCATACTATACTAAAGTATCATACTATTTTGTATTGGTGATCTTTGATATAGTAGTGACTGGCACCTATTTTACTAAACGTTTGGTATTTAATACCGACTTTTTTTCAGTGTAGGTACATTGGTAAATCACAATACAATATATTTTTCGATCGTATGTCTTTGATCAAATCACACATTGGTTAAACCTGTCAAACCACGTATCAGCTCAAATTTCTAGTTCACTATCATACAGATCTGCGACTTCATTGCTATATAAGTCAGATTGGTTCCTATATATGTGTCAATACTGATTTTGGCAAATTGGAGGATGAGAATATGATCATTCTATAAGAATATTCGAAAATAAGTATATTTGAACGTTGTGAGAATATTCATAGAGTATTCTGTGCTGTCTGGATTCCGACACGTCGCAAATCAGGTTGAAATGTCGCAATCACCTACCCTAAAAACTCTAGAGTTAGCGACAAAACCGCTAATATGGCAATCCCAGATAGCACAGAACCGTCCCGAAAACGTCCTTAAGCCGTACACCTCGGACATTGGAAACGTCCCCAGAACGTCCATTTTAGGTACGGCGTACGTTTCCAGGACGTTTTGGGGACATACGATGTTACACAACCAAAGGTCCCCAGGACGTACGATAAAGGTCCTGTTCAGGTCAGTACGGGAACATTAATACCTGAATCAACGTAGATTCACCTTTTTTTTACTCAGATAGTTTAAATAGAGACCTAGATAGAGAAAAACAATATTATTTTGACTAAAAAAAAATTCCAAAAAAGTGCTCCTACCGGGGATCGATCCCACGACCATAGAATTAGATGATCATGGCAGAGAATACCTAAATAGATGTTTTGTGATCAGGTACGGCCAGTAAAAAAGACTTGTGAGAAATGTATTATGTTCATGTTTGCAAGGTTCCTTAGTAAATAGATATCAGAGATCGAGGGTAGAATAAATTATGTGCAATGATTTCAATTATCATCATATATACAGTATTATTCGATCTCGTCCCTTGAAAGTCGATAAAGTCCAGAGTTGAACGTATCCAGTACATCGTAATCGTACGTACCCAGTGCGTCCAGAAACGGACGTTTTCAGTACGTCTTAAAAAGGTCCCGGACGTTCAGACCTAAATCGAGCCTAAACTGGACGTCCCCAGGACGTCGAGTGCTATATGGCAACCCTGCTGGCAACACTGGTTCCGTCCGCCTCCCTCGCCCTTCCTCCCTCACCCCTTGCTCTGCCGACCGGACTAGACCTGCGCTCGTGTGTCCGCCAGCATGCAGAGCGACGACGCGGAGCTGATGCCGCCTACGCCGCCGCCGCGCCGCGGCCTGCTTGGCTGCGCGCGCACCTCCCCGGGCCGGGTGGCGGCCGGCCTGCAGCTGGCGCAGGCGCAGGCGATGGCCGTGGCGGGGTTCCTGCCGCTGCTCGGCGCGCGGCCGGCGGATGGGTTGCCCTGCGCCGGGGCCAATCACAGGGCTTCTTTCCACGGCAGAGGTTAGGCGTAGTGGAGTACAAGCGTCTGGCTAGACCAGTGAATCTTTCAAATCTCAAGGTTATCAGAAGGTTATTCGTGTTTATAAGGCATAAAACCTATAAGAGTCATTTTCCCTCGAACCTAACCGGACAAACCAGGTTAACTTTATGATGACGTCACGGTAACTTCATCATGACGTCATGGTTTACTTCTGAAGCTTCACAGTTGTCAGTATACCAGCTGTTTTTGTTTATTGTTTGGTTTCAGAAGAAATACTAATACATTGGATAAGAAATTCATCATCTGTAACAAAAATATATCATAGATAGGAACTAGGTACTTACCTACTTCGAATTCAGGAAAATTGGAATAAGTCACTACATATTCACAATGAATCAAATATTCATTTTCATCAATAAGACGAGATCTCTCATCGAAAAATACTCCGTATGAATTCATAATTATTTCTTCAAGAAGAAAGTATGAATATATTTTACATCATCAATTATAACCTCAGATTATAACAACAACAAGAGCCCAATCAAGAGCCTTTACTAGTCCGTGAACTACCTCAGTGAGCTAGCTGGTTTGTGTGGTTGGTTAACTATTACGTCATAGTTTGGGATACACTTAATTCAAGGAAAATTGACTGGTTAACTCATTGTTGACCCGGTTTGTGTGGTTAACTTCGAGGAAAAATGGCTAAGGTAATATGAGGAAGGAAAATATGTCTTCTGCATGAAAAAGGAAAGTACTTTCAACCTAACTCGTCCTAAATGAAACTTCTTCCTGGAAAGTATATTTTTGTAAAATTAATTGAGTGAAAAAAATTTAAAAAAATATTACGCCTCGCAGGGATCGAACCACAGTCACCACCGTGGAAGTCAGATACAACAAACCACTTAGCTATCGCTTGTTCGTAGTTTCTCAATATAAAGAAGTGAGAAATATCATGTGTGTGGGTGACGTCACTTGACCTTTGGAGATTCACTGGTCTAGCTAGACACTTGTTAGTGGAGTGACTTTATAAATAGAGTGACGACAATAATTGTATACTTTTTGATTGGTCCGATCTTTGATATGGAGGTGCATCCTCCTGTCTCATATTTTGGTCAAGATCTGTACTAGCTGCATACACGTAACTGATCAATAGAATGAATATAGATTCTGTATTTCGTGTAAAATATATTTTGAAATCGCAAAGCGCTTTCGGCTTAAAAGCCATCATCAGTGCTATACCTGCAAGTAAGTAACATTCATGAAAATTCCAAAAAACAAATCCGAAAAGGTAGATTATTACTTACTCGCCAAGTATTTACAAAAAGGTCCAAAAATTAGTGATCGGCCACATCATTATGGTACAAACGGAATCAGGAACATACATTTAACAAAAAAGTTACCCAATGGGTTATTGTGAAATTTTCAGAAATACATTCCAAAATTATTTAGTTCAGGTCCTGGAAGAGCACGAGGGACCTTAACATCAATTAGTCTGACGAATATGTGACATTTTTAACCATGATAATATTGTTGACAGAGACTTAGTGTCAATGTCAATGACAGTTAACATTAGTATGAAGTAGACAAGTGACATAGTGACCACAGCGCGTGGGAAAAAATTGACAAGGTGAGCAAATTGAATGTCTGAAAATTTTGAAAAATAAAATGAGATGAAATGGACTACATTCCAGGCCAAAATATAGTAACAACCTTCATAATAAGAATTGGAAAGAGATTTCCAACCAAGACTTCAGAATCCTGGTGTTCAAACTTTCGACTACAGGAATTTTCCTTGGACTTTCAGCTTGAACACCTGGGCTCTGAAGTCTTGGTAGAAAATCTCTTCCCAATTCTTATTATAAAGGTTGTTACTATCAAATATCTAAACCTAACATATCAGGTGGGCACTTCGAGGGCGCAAATTCATTACTGCATGGGAGATACCCTTCAGATTTTTAAATATTCAGTGCCTTGTCGTCACTCTATTTAGTCTACTCACTCTGAGGCGTAGATGCTTGGTGTTTGTTTGCTAGAGGTTGAAAACTATCGATAGTACTATCGATGGTATCGATAGCTTTGCCCTATCGGAACAATCGATAGTTTTTGAAAACTATCGAAAAACTATCGGTCCAAAATTTTGTATAGATATCAAGTCATTTTGACTCCCAGAGTTCGACAACCACCGAAAAACTATCTAGAAAAACAATTTCAACAAGAGTAGATTCAAATGAAAATTATGATGTTGGAACAACGAAAACAATATCTAGAAAAAAATTGAAAGTCCCAGCAACGTCTGTCCGAGAGAATTTTCTCCAAAAACTGGACAAATAAATTCGTGACAGAAGATCGAGGTTCAAACCTGAAGTCAAGAGCGGTCTTATGGTGGGTAGAGCATTGAAACAGATCGTTTTCGAAATTTTATTCATGAAAAAAAAATGTCTTCAATATTTTTAAAATATTCTTTGTTATTCATAATGTATAATGTAATGTGTTTATTTTCACCAGTAGGAGAAGAATTAATTGAAAAATCGGAACAAATATATTTTTCGAACGAAATTCCAGATCGATAGTATTATCAATAGTATCGATAATTTTTGAAAATACTATCGAAACTATCGATAGTTTTCCTGTTTGCGGAGGGTACTGTGTTACTGGGTGGTTTTAGTTATTGGAATGAGCCTTTTAGTAGTGACGACTATACCTATTTGTAAGAGTACACGTGGATTTAACCATATATACATGAACTAAAAGGCACTACAATAAAGTGTATGTATGTACAAGGTGATTTTCAAATGAGTATCATATTGAATCTGCTATTATAGTCAATATATGTATAGGGTGTACCAAATTCGAGGGGCATCATTGGGATTTCGATAACCATAGCAGATGGAGTTGTTCATGAAAGAGGCTTTAATATTTGTTTACAATATTTGTTTATGAAAGGTCACAACTCCGTATCACAATATTCATAACTGCACTAACATGGAATACACCATTTCAACACGCTATTCATTGCTGCTATCGCTTTTATCATAGCAGTTGGTCTGTACAGACTTCAAGTCATCTTGACCTGACCTAGCGTAACCTTAAGATGTACCTAGCGGTCGACTTCATCTCAAGAGCGTCGAAAAAATGTGATAAAAACGTCACGTTTGTCGTGTTGACACTTTCGTCAAGTTTTTCATGTTGTTTTTAACGTTTTCAACGTTTCAATGACGTTTTTGTGACATTATTTCACGTTTTTCGTCATTTTAGCGCTTTTGTGACGTTTTCGTGATGTTTCCGTGGCGTTTTTCGTGACGTTTACCTGTTGGGTTCGGTCAATGTGACTCACTCGAGCCAGAATCTGTACACCGGGTGTCCTGAAATCAGCCTGCCAAACTTCACCAGCGGCTTCCACGAGAAAAAATAGGAACAAGAGTTTTAATGAACATGAGTGTAGAAAAGTGTCTCCTATAGGAGCTGCAAAAGATGATTTTGCTTGAAAATCTTCGAAACGCCGAAATGATGCAAGAACTAATAAACCTTCCATGCCCAATGCAATGACAATAAAATCATTCCAAAATTTCATTCAGGAGTGTACAATACAGACTACAAAAATATTGCTCAAACATTTTTGTATGCATATTTAATCAATCTCGGATTATGAAAATTCACTACACCTCTTTACAGAAAAAGGCGCACTTGTTCCGTATCTATCAGATGAATCGTTTTCGAGAAAAAATCGAATTATAAAAATTGTTACATATCAGATATAATGCATAACATTGCCATACATATTTTACGCTCCTCTATAAAATTGTTTGGCGGAGAAATGTGGTATTCATTTCCAGAAAACACAGGATTTGTAGGGAAGTGCACAGTAGTTGTGCTAAAATGATGAATATATCTGAACATTTTACAAAAAAGTATATGAAAATACAAAAAAAAACACGTTCTTACTTTCTTAGTAGGTACCTATACCTGAAACAATACAAATCCATTTCATAACAATTAAAATTGGTAAAACGCTGTTCAAAAAGCTCTATATAGGTATACACATATCACATATTATTATCATTGAGAAAATCAAGTACTGAGTAGTATGCTTTATTTATTAGAAGATTTTTCACTGAATTTTCGGATTTATTGAATGGCATAAACTCATAATCGGAAGGCAATTTATTGAATAGTTTCGCACTACTGTGAAATACTTTGTTCTCGAAAAACGATGTGTTATGATGAGGAAGTAAGATCATTTTGTAGCATTGTTGAGTGGAGGAAAAAAGCTTCAAGAATGTAGTCAGAAGGTAATGTTGAAATTCTCATTCGAATGAAATGTTGACGACACGAAGTGCTCCGAGAAAGTCCTAATATCATTCTAATTGCCTTTTTCTGTAGCACAAACACTGATTTCCACATCATTGATTTACCCCAGAAAAGAATTCCATAGGACATGCGAGAGTAAAAATTCGCAAAATAAACCATTTTTATGGTTTTGATGAATATACCATTCGCTTTCAAGGTTCTCAAAGCAAAACAACTGCTGCTTAATTTCTCATTGAGATATTGAATGAATAGATGAAAAATGTAGGATTTGATTTTTTATAGCCACTATAATTTGAAAATTGGCAATAAGATGTGAGTGAATATTTTTCAATGGATTTCATTCGGAAATGATCATCTGATCGATACGGAACAAAGCACCATTTTTCTGTAAAACGGTGTGGATTTTCATAATACCTGATTGAATTGTCGAAAAATATAGGTACATACAAAAAAGTTTTAGCAATATTAAATTATACACTCCAGAATAGAATTTCGGAATGATTTTATTTTCACTGCATTGGGCATGGAAAGTTTAGTTCTCGTCCTGAATTGCATCAGTTTATCACATGTCGTTTCGGAAATATTCAAGATATTCAAGGGACCGTAACTACCTTAGGAGACGTTTTTCTCGACTTATGAAACTTTTCTCTTCATTTTTGGTAGTAGAAGCCGGTTGTGTAATTTGGCAGGCTAATTTCGGAAAACTCTGTAC